GATCGGAAGGTCGTGGGTTCGCCTCGTAACGGAACCAGACTATTTTCAGAAATGGCCTTGCCTCACAGGTCGACCCAGCCTTTTGTAGGTACTAAGTGCAGTCCTGGGAAGTAAAGGCGGCCGGCGTGATGCTGACCACATTATCCACCAAGTGCCGATTGGTCTATAAAAATCTAGGTCTAGCCCTGTATTCCTAATACTCCTAAGGGCGTGGAAAAGGGGACCTTTTTTTCCTTATGAGCTCCGTTGTCACGAGCGGCTGTTCTTGCCGCCTCAGCTAAAATAGCACCGGTTACTTCTGCCGAACTGTATCGTTTTTTAAGTGCGCGTTCGTCACTCGTTTACCTTTTTCTGCGCGACTTTTTTCCCCGTCAATGACGCATACTTCTCTAAGTCCGTGACTCACCCAGTCCTTGGTTCCACCATACCTGCTCAGATTCTCTCTCTGTCTCTCTCTCTGTGTCTCTCTCTCTCTCTCTCTCTCTCTGTCTCTCTCTCTCTCTCTCTCTCTCTCTCTCTCTCTCTCTCTCTCTCTCTCTCTCTCTCTCTCTCTCTCTCTGAGTGTGTGTGTGTGTTTCTCATCAATAAGGGGATTTCCCTGCTCGTTCTAATTACCTGAGGTTTATTCTCCTGTCTCGTCTTGAGATCAGTGGTTCTCACCCTGTTAGCACGCAGGATACTCTCACACACCCACACACACACGCATGTACGCACGCACGCACACAATAACGCACGCACACACACACGCGCGCACGCACACAAACTTATTTAAAGTAAGTAAATTACCTTTTATTTTTACACCATGGGCGCATCCGACCTATAATGCATTATGCATTAGCATGCCTCATGGACGGGGAAAACCCGTCGTGCATTAGTGGACAAACACCCAAGACTTTCCGCTGGAGTTTACAGCCGATGACCGCTAAGAAGAATAGGAACTTCCACAGAAGTTTTAATGAGACATTTGGGCCGACAGATTTGGGCTTCTAGCCCTAGCTTCAGCGCGACCGCTTCTCCCGCAGCATTCACATTAGCACGACCTCCTCCAGCTTGGGGGGGGGGGGGGGGAGCTGGAGACGGTCGTGCACAATAGATAGATCGAAAACTGCCAGCACGACTGCGAGTTTAAAAACTGGTTACGTTTAGAAGAGCTTGTGGAGTCATTGAATGGAAAGGGTGGGGCTGTGTGGTCTCGAGGCATCGTGTCCGCCTCGAGTGCTAGAGGTTCCGGGTTCAGTACCCGGTAAGGGCTGGGATTTTTTCACGTGGACTTGGACTTTAGTAATTCCCCCTGGTCTCTGGGTAGTGAGATCCGACACCCGTGTGCATTGTTGAGCACGTAAAAAAAAATCCCTTGGCAGTTGGAAATCGAAAATAATAGCCTAACGGCGCTGCCCGGGCGTAATTTGGAATTAAAAATCTACCCAAAGTATTTCAAGATCCTAGCCTGTGCTACGGAGCCTGTGCACTGTGCTGAGCTTCTTTGGACAGACTGAATTAAAAAGAAGAACGGAGCACTTATGGGTTACTATCTGTGTGCCATGATGTTCATCGTTGTATAAATTTCAAACTTTGAAGGAAAGGGTCTGGTATACCAGACACGGGATAGCCGTCATAGTGCCTCCGCCATCCCTGTTATTTTACTTATCAAGCCTGTACTGTTGTATGGCAGTGTATCTTAGAATGTGAACAGACAAATTAAGAAGAATTTGGAGGCAGCTGAGATGTGGTTCTTGAGAATAATGTTGTGAATACCTTAGACTGCCAGAATAACGAACAGTGAAATGGCTAAATGGAAATGGCTAATGGAAGTAGAACATTATAGACATCATAGAGAAGGATAAAGAGTCCATTGGTCATGTGATAAGAAAAAGAGCACTGGAAAATATGACGACTGGAAAGATCTCCAGTTAGAAGAGGCAGAGGCAGACCAAGATAAATGATGACGGATGGCTTAAGACAGTGGCATGGAGGAATATCATCAGTGGAATTGATCCAGAACACCAAAGAGCGATGCATGAAGATCTGTGAAGATGCATGAACGCCTTTGCCGACTGGCAAGGCATGTGATAGTGATTTAATAGAAAAGCCTGCCTCCTTCGGATGGGAAGCAATGTATGGAATGGAGGTGGCGAATCCTTAGTTAACGTATTAATTATATACCCCATGGAGGCTTACACAAAGAAAACATGAAGGGAGAGGTGGGGCGGTTAAGCTTCAGCGTCCTTACAGATTTTCTCGGGGGGGGGGGGGGGGGGGGGGCTGCATGTCAAATTTGAAGGAAGAGTATAGAGGAGTTGAGAACTGACATCATAGCATTCCCGTCAGCACTATCTGTTTCCCCCATCTTCAGCACCTGACACAGAGTTCTAGTTAAGATGATGCCATTTACAGTCTGCCTGTATGTCCGTCTTGCCTTTTTCCTGAGTGTTGAGCTTCGACCGGGGGTACCTTCTTGCATCATTGTCCTCAGATAATGCTGGTGATCTGTTTGTGGCCCCGCGCTGTTCAGGCTTTGAAGGAGACAATGATCTCATCTACATATTCTAGTTAGTTAGTTGACCGATCTTCCTCAGCGCACATCGGAAAAGTCCACAAGCTGGCGCTCGTATCTCCCCCAGCGAGTGGCTACTGATAACACCTGTTCTATTCTGTAATGGTTCACTATTCTTCTGTGGCTACCTGTTCTCTGTCTGATAACACCTGGAGTTCTTGTTCATCCTATCTGCATTAGTCATGCCCTCAGTTCAAAAACGTCTTAGCGAGCATGAGCTGTGTGTGATCCTGTGGTTTAGCACCTATGCATCGCACTGCTGAGACTGAAAGACTGAAACGTCATTTAATCCAAGTCTCTGAACGTAAACTTGCGTAGTGAATCTAAACAGCACCCCCACCCATGCTGGAACTTGTTAGCTGTGTGGCATTAGTAGTCATGTCTGTTCACAACCTTCTGTCTCGTCTACTGTCAGTCCGTTCTGACACAGATGATCGCCCATGCCATGATGTCAAACTGTCCGCAGCCTCTTCTCTCTCGATCTTCCTCTGCTCCTTTATCCACCACCCCTCTCCCCCACAGGTTTGCCACCGTCACGATGTACTCCAGTTTTATCCAAAGAACGTCGATTTTCTCCCTCTGATGTGGGCAGTCAGTTCTCTTCGTGAGTCAGTTTCTTTCAAGACATCTTCATTACTCCTTTTATTTGTCCAGGGTGTTCTCATAATTCCCCTATAAAACCACGACATCTTCATTACTCATTTTATTTGTCCAGGGTGTTCTCATAATTCCCCTATAAAACCACATCTTCATTACTCCTTTTATTTGTCCAGGGTGTTCTCATAATTTCCCTATAAAACCATGACATCTTCATTACTCCTTTTATTTGTCCAGGGTGTTCTCATAATTCCCCTATAAAACCACGACATCTTCATTACTCCTTTTATTTGTCCAGGGTGTTCTCATAATTCCCCTATAAAACCACAACTCTGCCCCTTCAAAATTATCAAAATTTCAATTATCAACCAACTGTTTGAATGAGCGGCTGGCCGAACGGTTAGAAAGCTGGACTCTCAAGCGGGAGACCCGGGTTCGAATCTTCCGTAAGGCTGGGAATTTTTCTCGTTCAGGGGCACAATCAACTTCGCTCCCACATGTACAACAAATTAAAGATTGGCCAATCAGCCATGTGTACCTGTGGACTGGCACCTGAGACAACAGATCACATCCTCCAGACTGTCCTAGATTCAACGCTTCCAGGCAAAACTTCTGGCCAAAAGAGACACTTGTGGAAGTCAAACTTTACAGGCCGCTTAGTGAGTTACAAAAGACAGTGAAATTCATACTAGAGACAGCATTGCAGATTTGGATAATTTATTACATGCGAACGAAAGAAGAAAAAAAGAAGAAGATCCCAAGTGACTCGGATTCTACAGAATGACTAGCCGCCTGTCGAGAGAGGTTCACACAAAGCACGAACACCATGATAGTCCTGGCGATGATCCCCAGGGCTCTAGGTAAAAGAATTGCACACTTGAACCAAATAACGCAACCCTGAAATGAACCCACGACCTTCAGGGCACGGGTGGGGCACACGGCTTGACCACTTCGCCTTGGAATGGTTCTGCAAGCGTTGTTGGTTCTGCAGCATCCTGTGAAAGGACAGACAATTAACCTTTTAACTCTTTGAGTCCCAGGGGGTTTAGCATCACAGGCCCAAGGGGTGTTGAAGAGAGAAGTAAAATTGGTGCATCTTGCATTTATTGGGCTTCTAGGTAGGAATCTATGAACGTATGATGCGTTTTCTTGGGACTCAAAGAGTTAAACTGTGGGTATGGCCTGTTAAAATAGAGTTGGTCTCTTCAGTTGTAGAAGGGCTCCATTGAGGTAAGGAAATGAGCACATATTCAGTTGTTTGGGCTTGTTGCTTTATTCACTTGGCGTCCTGTGTGTTCCTTGGCCTGCAGTCTTGACATAGCAGCTGTATCAATAATGGAAGTAAACATTCAGGTGTGTAGCCTCATAACTCTGCACCCACCCCCCCCCCCCCCCCCCCCCACCCCTCCCACCTTTCAAATTCTCTCTTTTACTCTCTGCATCTTTATTCTGTCTCTTTCTGCACCTTTTTCTTTTTCACTGCATTTCTTTTATTGTTTTCTCTCTCTCTTCCTCCCCTCTCTCTCTTCATGTATCCCTCTTTATCTGTTTCTTTCTCCACATCTCTCTCACTGTTCAGAAAGCGATAGCAATCTGCTGAATGTAAAAATTGCAAAGGTGTGTTGTACAACATCCTGTAACAGATAATCAACAAATTATATTTGCTTTTACATTAGAAGTAACAAACTGCATTATTTATCTACAGGTGTATGTCCTGCAGCCTGCATGTCACCCACACATTACTCACCACACAGAAGCCACAGCCATTGAGAAATCACACCCGCAAGCGGCAGCACTGTGCTGTAGCCACATGTGGCACATATTATACTGAACCACATCTGTTGAGAAAATGAGTCTGCCGAGGCCTTCTGGCATCAAACAGCCCACCCGTATTAGTAGACCATCTGGGTTACCCACAGCTCGACCCCAGACTCCATCAGGAGGGAACAGTACCAACCACTCACAGAACAGTGTTACTGGATCCAACACAAAAGCCCAAAGTGAGTGGTTTATATACTCTTTGTGTGGTTCCATTCTTTTCTTTGTCCTTTTCTTTCTCATTTTCATCCTTTCCTCCTCTTCTTCATCTTTTTATTCCTCCTTTTCCTCATACTTTACTCTTCCTCCTGTCCATCTTCTCTTCCTATTCCCATCCCTCTCCTACTCTTCCTCTGCTGTGCCTTTTTTGCTTTAACTTAAATGTTTCCTTTTGCACCCCCTCCCGCCTATTCCCTCCTAGTCTTTTGAAAAAGACATCTTTATCTTTTTCTGTATTCACCCTTGAACGGCCGTTTGGCACATGGTGTTATGGTTTACAGCTAGACTGTGATATCTGCACCTTTCTTCCCAGTGAGCAAATCATTAACTAGTCGACTTTTACAACATGCTTGCTAGCTCTTTCATTATCATGCAATGTGTCATGTGTAATAAACTTCCATAGTAGTATGTTCACCCCCACTTTACTGTTGGTTACAGCACACTAAAGAAATCTGGCTTCCATATTGGCTGCGTATTTTGCATGTTTGAATGTTGTGCATTCATGAGTTTTCGTGGTCATTTATTTCCTTGGGCATTTGCTGCGAGAACACCTTGAGATTGAAAGATTGGAGGAGTAGGGGGGTGTGTTCTCTTTTGCCCCTGAATCTACACAGGGAGCCCTTTACCTGAAGCCAGAGGTCCATAAGAGAGACAAAGCCTTATTGCAGACTTTTGAGAACACAAGTAAAGGACCTTTTCTACGCCTTTGGGCATATTAGGCATATACTGCTAGACCTATATTTATTGTCGGGGGTATAGTGGCTAGACATTCGCCTTCAGATCCAAAGGTCCTAACTGAACCCGATTAAGATAAAAATGTTGCTCCCAGGTCAACTTAGCCTTAAATGGGTGCCAGGTAAGGTAAAGTCCTGGGAAGTAAAGGTGGCCGGCATGATGATGACCACATCACTCACTGAGTGCTGATTGATCTATCCTATATAGGTCTAGCCCTATATGCCCAGTAAGCGTGAAATAATGGAAAAGTATCCTTTACTTTTTACTTTTTCACATCGCGCCATAATTGTCCTCTCCAGAATCTCATGTCCTTGTAATGTGTCCAACATTTTTCAGTGTGTGTTTGCTGTAGTAACCAGATGTTTTCAGTTGTTACTTCTTGTTGTGGTGATCTGTAACTAACTGTTGCATGTCATGAGAGATATTAACATAAAGGTATCAGGGCCAGACAGGTAATGTCTTCGGAAGTCAAAATGGCTGGGCCTGATGTTAAGCTCGTCATCCATCGTGTGTTGACTGGTCTGTGGAAATGTAGAAAACATCTGCCTGAGAGGCAAGGAACCAACAGTCTGCATACACGTCTTCTTTTTTTTTTGTCATCTCACTGATACCAGGTTGTAGCCTAGTGTTGTGGTTTTCTGTATTTATCTTGCACCCCTTGTGTGGCTGATAGATCTGTTTATATTTTTGGCAGAGATGTCAGAGAGAGAGAGAGAGAGAGAGAGAGAGAGAGAGAGAGAGAGAGAGAGAGAGAGAGAGAGAGAGAGAGAGAGAGAGAGAGAGAGAGGTGTATCTGACTCATGTCAGATGTGTAAAATGGGTATAAATCCAGGACCATATGCTTGCTGGGCCAAGCGCTTTTGAAGGGTCCTGTACTTTGATTACTGAATGTGAGCAAGGAAACAGAAGTGGAAAAGGGAGTCAGCAAAATGTGTTGCTCTCAAGTATGGAGCAGAAACATGGAGAACAGCTGAAACATTTGTCAGTAATTTGATCAAAGAAGACACAAACAATAGATTGCACAATGTATTGCCTGGCACATTTCGCTGTATCTCGACATGAGCTTACTACGGTAACAATTACATAAAATGTGCAAATAATGAATCCTTTTTAATCGAAGTCAAATTTAAACAAAAACATTGCTTTGGTTTGTAAATAAATTGTGAACATAAGGCACCTTGCCTGGGCAGAAAAGAGGAAATTAAATGAAGTGATAAAATATCTGTTGTAGAGCTTTGGAGAAGAACTAAAATTCTATTGATTCTAGATTTGTGGAAGAGACGCTGGCATTGGATAGAACACACTTTGAGAAAACCTAATAGTAATTATTGGAATGTACTTGCTTTGGCATCCAGAGAGTTTATGGAATAAAGGGGAGACTAAAGGCATGGGGGTATGGAATTAGAGAGTGGAGGCAAGTTAAAAAAAATTGTGTTTATTAAATAAATTTTTTTTAACAAACCAAATTAAATCATTTTCTTGATTTTTTTTTTTATTGTTCATTTTATAGTTTATTTTTAATTTGATTCTTTCAAACCCAGAAGGTTTCATAAAAATCTGAATCAGTTTTATTAAATAGACATTAAAAAAAGAATACCATTCGATGGTTTTGTAGGAATATATAGAGAATAGAATTGCCCTGTGTCCCAATGCTGGCTGTTGACGGGGACTCTAATATAACCCAGCCTGTGGTTTGAATGGGGTTTCTGGGACCTGTCCCCAGGGGATTTTCATCCGAATGGTGGCACTTTGTGTCACTGGATGTTTATTGCTCAGTGTGATGTCCTGGTGGTGGTTAAACATCATTGACATCTGATGTAGACAGCTTACTTTACAATACATTGAGCAAATGTTCCATGTCAGAAAAGCATTGTATGTTATCTCTCGCGGTGCAGTTTTGGAGCCCCAGTTTAGCAAGTCAAAGAATAGACCCACTAGCTCTTAACATCATCATCATCATGTTTTGCCATCATTTTATATGTTACATAGGGCTTGCAGTCCTTTCCTCCACTGTGTTCTGCCCTGTGCAGTCCCTTCGATATCATGGATGGAATCCAGCCCAGCACTTCTGGCTTGTCTCATCCACGTTCCTTTTAGAGTTTTCTTTGGGACATCCTTGCTTCTTCAGTCCCTGTACTTTAGTGCCTGTCTGGTGATTCTCTGCTCGTTTCCTCTCAGGATGTGTTCAGTGTGCTGCCATCTTCTTTGTCTTTTAACTGTTGTTGCCAGTTTTTACTAAAAAAGCATGTCATAAAAGGTCTCTAGCTAAGGGTTGGCTGGAATCAACCCCAGGCGCTGATGGTGCAGTCTAGCTGTCAGTTACAACACAGTGTGTCATCTGCCTTTTCAAAGGCCAATGCAGAAGAAGAAGAAAGGCACAAATGAAAGGCACTTCACATTAAAAACACAGCTCACAGTATTGCACCAAGCATTGAACTCAGTAGCTCAGGCAGGGAAACTGTAAACTTCCGTCCATACATGGAAACTAGCAGAGCGCTGTCAGAAGGAAAAATAACTTTGAAGCTAAACATTCTGCCATGTCTGGTCCTCCATATTGGACCGGAAGTTCATTGTCATATCTATCCTTAGTCTTCTATCTAATGTACTGACAACGTTCTTATTTCTTTAAAAAAAAAAGTTGTCTATACCTGCAAGTGGCATGAAACGGGCCTTAAATTTATTTACTATTTTTATGGTCCCCATTTGGACTTGTGCGGGGGAAACCTTCTGTGTATGAAATAGTGTAGCTTGATATTGTAACTGCATGCTGCTTTTGTGAAATTTTGGTCGTCTTTTGAGCATGTTTCCCTGTTTTGTTATCTCTGTGAACTCAAGGTGCCTTAACCAAGTCCGCAAGAGGAGCGGGTTTGTGTCCTGAGCATGCTGACCAGTACGCCACTGATGTCTCTAGAGTTTTGAAAGGTAGTAGTCTCTCTTGATGCTGCTTAGTTTGTGTGTAGCAGGAGGTCACGTAGCAGATAGAGTACAGAGTGTGCTGTGTGAGTGATGCACTCTGTAGGATTAATATCTCAAGGGTGTGAATCAAACAGGTACAAAACCCTGGATACTCAATTCCACCGTATAGTTTAACAGTTATATTGGGGCACCTGAGAGTTACACGTCTAGTATAACGGGCATCTCAAATTCTCTTTAACCTATTCTAGGCCACACCATTACGAAAACATGATATAACTTGTATGTCTTTGCACTGGAACCCTCAGGGTCAAAAGAAAAAGGGCTGACTGTTTAAAAAAAAAAAAAGTGGGAATTAGTGAAGGAAAAACAGGTGGGGGAAAGACATGGAGTGAGTTGCATGCAGACTTGATGTGAGATGGGTGAGGGTTCATGCTCCACTGAGGGATGCATGGCAGAAGAAGGCTACAACACACATTGTTAAAAAAAAAAGAGGGGGGGGGAGATGCAATTAAGGTACCCCCTAAAAACATGAGAGGGTTGAGAGAGATTGTATTATATCAACATTCATTCTCTTTAAAGTGTATATTCAGCATTTTCATATTATTTCTGTGAGTAAACTATTGTAATGTGTTTTGACCGATAGTTTTAATAATTTCAGTCTTCATTTATCATTTGGAATTGTTTTTGTTATGCCCGCGGAAGTTTTGTGTTGTGAACTTTACTAAAAATGGTGGGCGGGCAAATTAATTTTTTCTCCAGAATAACATGTAAAAAAAAAAAAAAAGTAAAGATCCCTTTTCACGCCTTTCGGCGCATCGGGCATATGGGCAGAGCGTCCCATATTTTTACAGACGATCAGCACTCTGTGGGTAATGTGGTCAGCATTACGCCAGCTGTCTTTACTTTCCCAGGACAGCCCATCCTGGTACCCATTTTAGGCTGGGTCGACCTGCGACGTCCCCCTACCACGACAAAAATCCGCGCAGCCTGCAGTGGATTTCGATCGCGGTATGCTGGCTTACGAGTCGGACTCGCAACGCCTTAGCCACGGACGCCGCAGAATAACATGTACTTGTGCAGTATTGCTGGGACTGATGATGTTTCTTCTCACTATATTTTTTTCTTCTCTTCAAATGGGACACAGAAAGACATTTTGTGTGATTTCTACTGCAGGGACGTTGGAACTTTGACTAATGATTTTAATTTAATCAAACCCCGCCCCCCCCCTCTTTCCCCACTTCTGAATTATTTTCTTTGTCCCTGAGATGAGGTGGTCACTTCCATCCCTTACCTCCCCAGACAATTCCTAAGAAATTCTGAAAATTATCCGCTTTCCATGTTAATGAGGTTGGGGCAACATTAGGGCCATAGTGGCTACAGAAAAGATCAACGCTTCTACTGGGAATAGGGGGCCACGGCAGCATAATGACGAGAAACTCAGCTGTCGGCCCAAAGGTATAGGGTTCAGATTCTCTGTGACCTAGAAAGTGAATGCATCACCCTCTCAGTTTCTCTATAGGTTTTCAAATCTCTGTATGCTATCCTTTGCAACCATCAGCCACTCGAGTGTCAGTATAGATTTGTGTTTAAATCATAGAGAAACAATCTGACAAAACCACCATCCAACTACAACAAATTTAGCCACACAGAAAAAGCACTCCCTCACACGTGCTGGTGCTGGGGGACTTGGCAATCTCTGAAGTTCCCAAGGGGGAGTAGGAAGACAAAGAGTGAGGTCATTATACCCCTCCATCCTGGTGTGAGGTCATGGGACAAGGCTGGCTGTCTCCATTAGTGGCTGATCAACTATTCTGGAAACAAAGGGATCATTATAGGAGAGTTTGTCGTGCTTGAGTTGAGTCAAGAATTGACATTACAGCACTTGGGGTATTCCCATGTGTGCTCCGTCCTCATCTTCAGCAGCCAACGCAGAGTTCCAATACTGATGGCACCGGTCACAATCTGGTTATATGTCTGTCTTGCCTTTCCTTTGAGTGTAGTGAGCCTGACAGACCCTCTGGTTACACCCAGGTGCCTCATTCTCTCCAGGGGATAATAATCTGGTTTTTCTACTAATTCCGTTGCTTGTTCCCAAAGGGCCTTGGCCACATCTGCCTTGTCATGTATCAGTTCACCACCCAAAGGTGCAGATCCAGCCAATCTGTCTGCCTGTTCATTACCCACTACGCTGGCATGGCCTGGATAAAAGATCTAAAATATGCTCACTACCAGTTACTTCCCAGTGAAGCTTGCCACTCTGCTTAAAGCATCCCTGTCTTCACCTTTCTCAGCATGCCTTCAGTGTCTGTTACAATGACATGTGTATGCATCTTGCTCTCTAGCCACCGGAGATCTACAGGTATTGCCTCCTCAGTTACCTTGTAGGGCTTGATGCCCCCTTGACTCATTAAATACTAAGGAACTCACAGTGTGTTTATTGGGCTCTGCTTAATTCAGTGAATCATCAACAGTCTAGTCCACCGATTAGTGGAACAAATTATGTAAAACATCTCAACAGAGATGTCTTCTTCTTCCTCTTTTTTCGTTCGCTTGAAATAGATTATCTATATCTGCATTGTTGTCCTTCACTGTCCTTTGTAATTCACTCAGTGACCCGTAAAGTTTGGCTTGCACCGGTGTTTCTCTTGGCCAGAAGTTTTGCCTTAATATCTTGTACTTGGGACAGTCTTGGAGGACGCTTTTTGTTGTCTCAGGTGTCAATCCACATGTACACATGAGATGTGATTTTGTAGCTTAAGTATAAGAACACCCCGGACAGATAAAAAGAGAAATAGAAGAAGTTTTGAAGAAAATTGAATCATTAAGAGAACTGATTGTCCATATCACAAGGAGACAATTTACTTTCTTTTGTAGTGTCATGACAAGGAGAAAACTGGAGTACATTGTGGCAAAGTTGGAGGGGAAAAGAGACAGCGGGAGGCCAAAAGAGAAGGTGCTGGGCAGTTTGACATGATGGCATGGAAGATCATCTGCGTCAGGATTGATTGAATGTACACATGACAGAAGGCTGAGGATAAACTTGACTACCAGTACCGTATAGAATGGACTATAAGAAAAACTTAGGTCAAATTCTGTTCTTAAGCAGTTATCCACAACCCAGATATTACTTTTACTCACTTTGCTCCGATTGTTACTTCAAACCATTCTTTCCCCAAATGTTGTCTTCTTCTTCTTTGCATTCACCAACTGTAAACTCCGGCAGAAAGTTCTGGTTCTTCGTCCACCTCTGGACTTTGATCCTGTTCCAGAATCTGAGTGTTGCATGCACATCCTTTTTACTGATCTGACTTACTTGTTTGCAGATTTGTGTCTTGCCTCTCAGGCAGATGCACTCTGACTTCAAAGGAAGCCCAGTTAGTTGACTCCTACGACATCCTTGTTAGGGAGGCAGTAGACCTATTTGTGTTTCCCCCATAATGGGGCCCTGGAACCAACACGGGGACCACGATGTTGTTATTGTAAAACCTTCAGGCACAAAGAAACTTACATTCTTATTCTTGTTCTTTTCTTTCTTCTTCTTCTTCTTTCTCTGTTCTTTATTCCCTAGGGGAGCGTTGGCCCTCAGCCGACTCCCGCCAGGTCTTCCTACCCTCTGTTAATACACATACCTTATCCCATATCCTGCCAGTTTTTTTCTAAATCCGGCTGGCAGAGAAATAGCAAGTGAACTACTGCACATTCCAAGTTGTATTGTATTAATGATCTTTCTATGCTGGGGCTCGTATATCTGGCCTGTGTCGATCCCCCTGTTCAACATTTTGGCCCCAGAGTAAGCTCTGCTCTAGTTCTTTTCTCAGTGTTTTACAAGCAGCATTATCATCATCATGTGCACTGGCGTAGGCGCTCATACATCTCCACAGATCACGATCCCTGGTTGGCAGGAACAGCTCTCTTGATGATATCCCTCCATGCCATCATTTCTGCCCATCCAGCATCATCTCTGTTGGTCTGCCTCTACCCCTTTTACAAACATAAATTAGTCAAATTAAAATCTTGATATATAACAAGGGTCAGTTAATATCAACCTGGGACAGAAAGAGTTAATGACAGGATGCAACTAGTATTGGTCCTATGCTCCCTAGGGCACATATAGTGGTTGGAATAATTGGATAATTAAATGAAGTATTCTCCTTTAAGCAAGTGTTTGGCAGCGGCCTAACAGTGAGTTGCTTTTGGTGAGAGTGAGTCCACAGGAACAGAAGGGAAAGATGGGAGATAGTGTTCATCATGTATGATAATGGGTGTGTGAGTTATTGATTTCTCCACTCAGGGGCTCCTTTATTCACAAATTGCCACACAGTGAATCACCATTCTTGTAACCCATTACCTCTCCCACTTGTTAATACCAATAATTTGGATGTCTGCCCACTCTGGGGTATTGATTTTACTGTGCTGTGTTACTGTGCTGTACACATGTCCTTCTCCTTTTCTCTCTCTTTATCTTCTGCCCTTCCTCTGTCCTTATCTTTCTCACTTTCACTCCTTCACTCTGCTCTCTCTCTCTCTCTTTATGTCACCTCTCTGTCCTTCCATCTCTCTGTCCATCCTCCACTCTGTCTGAATACTTTCTTTCTCTCTGTATCTCTCTTTCTGTGTTCCTTCACTGACTTTCCTCTCTTTCTCTCCCCTCAGTCTTTTGCTTTCTATCTCCTCCCCCACCTCAGTCTTTTTTCCTCCATATTTCTTTTCTCTCCTCCCTCCTGCCCTCCCTTTCTGTCTGTATTTTTCTTCTCCTCCTCCTCTTTCTCCTTCTTTGCGCATGAACACACACACATGCACGCATACACACACACACACACATGCATGCATGCATGCATGCATACATACACACCAAACCCACCCCACCCCACACCCAACAAACCAACAACCTGCACACAAAACAGCCAGATTTGTAAAAACTCACGTTCTGGAACAAGACCAAAATCCTAAAGTGTACGAACAACCAGAACTTTCCAAAGTAGTTTACAGCCGGTAAAGGCCAAGAATAAGAAGACACTCCCCTTCCACATACAGCAGATCTTTTCATGTTTTTCCCCTTATCCCCAGTCCCCCTCTTCCCCTTTACTAAATGATCATGTGAAAAATAGGTGGTGCAGAAAGAAAAGAAGAAAGTGGTTTTGTGCATGTGTCATTGCTGGTGATAGATCTAAAAAAAAACAGCTAGAAGGATTTGATCATGCACATTTCATTTCTCTATCTTCTTATAGTCCATCCAGTGTGGTTTTGGTAGTCATGTCTGTCCACCCACAGCCTTCTAGCTTGTGTACTTTCAGTCAGTTTTGACTCTGATGATCTTCCACGCCATGATGTCAGGCTGTCCAGCATCTTCTCTCTCGGCCTCCCTCTGCCACTTTACCCCTTGAACTTTCCCACGGTCACGATGTACTACAGTTTTCTCCCTTTCAGGACATGACCATAGAATGTAGATTGCATCTACACATGTTAAAAATGTACAATTGCTTTGAGGCATGTGTAGTTCATCTTCGTGTGTGTGCTTCACAGATGCTTGCATATGTTTTCAGTGTCTGTGCATGGATAATGATGTCTGCATGCAGTCAAGGATTTTGAATGTGAAAATGTACCATGAAGGCTAGCCCCGGCAACAAATGCCTGCAGAAGCTGGATGTATTGGCCGAATGGTGCAGCAAATATCACAGTCATTTTGTAAATGGAGCCTGATATGGCCAAATTATTTCGGTCCCTGAGACAAGATGCTGTTTACTAGTCAATCTTCTGTGATGTTCAGATCTTTGGGTTGTTAGTATTTCTTTTTTTGCTTTGTTCACAGTATTCTGAGAATCTTTCTGTAACGTTTTAGCTCAAGAGCCTGTATTTTCTTCCATAAGAACTGCGACTCACATCCATATATTGCTACAGGGAATATACACAATTTAAAATCAGCGAATCAGCCATGTGTACATGTGGATTGGCACCTGAGACAACAGATCATGTCCTCCAAGAATGTTCCAAGTACAACATATCAGGGCAAAACGTTTGGCCAAGAGAAACATCGGTGCAAGTCAGACTTTACGGGTCGCTGAGTGAATTACAACAGATAGTGAAGTTTATACTAGAGACAACATTGCAGATATAGATAATCTATTTCAAGTGAACGGAAGAAGAAGAAGAAGAAGAAGAAGAAGCTACAGGGAATATGCATGCTCTCCAAATGTTGGCTTTGATTTCCTTGGTGGTGCTTAACCATAAACCCTTAATGTTCAGTCTTTGCATTGCTACAGCTGCCCTCCTTTTGACCTTTGTTGAACAGTCTCCATTGCTGTTTATAATAGAGCCTAGATATAGAAAGTCTGTGGCATTTTCAATTTCTTCAAGATTTATTAGTGATTCCATCCATGATATTAAAAAGATTGCACAGGTAGGAACAGTATGGAGAAATAGTCTGTGGGTCCTTTGTCACGTAAACAACAGCTCAACGGCATGGGGATGATGATCTAAGATGTTGTCTTTTTTATATGTTTACCTCAGTGTCCTCAGCATAATCAGGCTTAATTAGCAAATGACCCTAAGTACACCTGTGGCACATTTAGCTATTGATGCTAACATCACCAGTCAGTGTGCTTGAACCATGCCAGCCCCCTCTACATCCCAGAAAATTACCTGGTACCCACTTTAGGCTGAGTTGATTTGGAAGCTAGGGACAGATTTGGAAGGAAAAAGATAATATTCCACCTGGATGTGGATCTGAACCCAAGACTTAATGCTGGCAGGTGGCCATCTAGCCAATCTGCTACCTTGACTCCCAAAGCTTTAATTATTGTAAACTTTTATTAAGTTCGCTTTTGTTTATTTTCAGGCCCAGATCCACTGGAAGATGGGGTTGTCGTCGATGACTTCAAGATTGGCGACCGCATCTGGGTCAGTGGGAACAAACCCGGAACAATAGCGTTTATAGGAGAAACACAGTTTGCACCCGGTGACTGGGCTGGTATTGTTCTGGATGACGGCATCGGCAAGAATGATGGCAGTGTTATGGGCATTAGATACTTCCAGGTAAATTTGGTTGAGTACACATCGGCAAGAATGATGGCAGTGTTATGGGCATTAGATACTTCCAGGTAAATTTGGTTGAGTACACATCGGCAAGAATGATGGCAGTGTTATGGGCATTAGATACTTCCAGGTAAATTTGGTTGAGTACACAGCGGCAAGAATGATGGCAGTGTTATGGGCATTAGATACTTCCAGGTAAATTTGGTTGAGTACAGTTTTTGTTGCAATGTTCAGAAAATAGTGGATAGCCGATAAGTGTTTAGGCTGGTGATGTGCCTTATGCAATGATTTTGCATATGTACCCCTACCTTGTTGTAACTCACTACTTCTGTCAGCGGAAAATTGCAATTTTCAGAGCAGATTGTCGATGTTGGCAAATCTAGTTGCTGCCTTATGCATTCACTGCATGTGTGGTTGTTTCTGCTTTTTGCAAACACACATAAAAACAACAACAAAAACTAGTCAAATGGGACAGTGAAGGTTATTTTTTTGTTGTGATTCTCACTGTCACAGGAATGAAGGAGTTATGGCAACTATATATACTAGACTTATATTTTATATACCAGTTGGCACTTGGGGATGTGGCCAAAATCCCCCCAGCCAACTTTATTTCCCAGGGTTTTACCTGGTAACCATTTAATGCTAGGTCGACCTAGGAGCCAAGATCGTTTAAAAAAAAAAAATCCAGCATCGCCAGGACCTATACCCACAACCATCAGATCCGCAGGATCTAGCCCCTACAGCGCAGCAGATATCGTCATTTATTTAGTTTTAGAAAATTTTGGAAATATCCAGATTTGTAAGACATTAAGATAAAACAGTGTTTCATCAATTGACAAATTTATGAAATACAGATGCATTATTGTTTGAAGAATGTCAGATTAGACAAATTAAGCAACCATTTAACACATTCAGCAGAGTCCTATTATTTTAGAAAATGCAGCAGTTATATTATTTAAAAAATTCAGCAGTCATATTATTTAAAAATTCAGAAGTGATATTGTTTAAAAAAAATTCAGCGGAGTCATATTTAAAAAAAAAACCAGCAGAGTCAAATTGTTTAAAAACAAAATTCAGCAGTCATGTTATTTAAATACAAAAATCAGCAGTCATATTATTTAAAAACAAACAGCAGTGTCATATTATTTAAAAACAAAATTCAGCAGTGTCATATTTTTTAAAAACAGAATTCAGCAAGGTCATATTATTTATACACAAAATTCAGCAGAATCATGTTATTTAAAAAAAAAAAAATCAGTCTGCTGAATCATAATATTTTTAACAAAAGCAGCCTTCATATTACTTCAAAAAATGCAGCAGACTCATATTATTAAAAAAAATTCAGCAGGATCATATTATTTTTTTTTTAAATTCAGCAGAATCATATTATTTATGCCAGTAGATTATTGAAAATATGATTTCTTCTAGTGTGAGCCAAAGAGAGGAGTGTTCTCCCGGCTAAGCAAGCTCTCTCACACACCACACTCACCATCCCGGCCACTGTCACAAGGATATGACAGCAACTCCAGCGAGTCAAAGTTTTCTTACTCAGACTTCAGACCCTCGTCACAGGTAGCGGCAACAAACGGAACCAGTGCTCCTGGCTCTGCTGCTTCCTCCAGACCTTCGGTAAGTCTTTATTGATAGTTTAAAGGGGATTGATTATCCTTTACAAGAGTACGCAGATACAACGCCAATATTTGCAGTCTGTGGCTCTACTAGTTGTTAGTCAAGGTTTCAATATCTTTATAGATGGGTCAAGTCAAGGTTCCAATATCTTCATAGACGGGTCGAGTCAAGGATCCAATATCTTTATAGTTGGGACTAGTCAAGGTTCCAGTATCTTTGTAGACGGGTCTAGTCAAGGTTTCAATATCTTTGTAGACGGGTCGAGTCAAGGTTCCAATATCTTTGTAGACGGGTCTAGTCAAGGTTCCAGTATCTTTGTAGGCTGGTCTAGTCAAGGTTCCAATATCTTTGTAGGCGGGTCTAGTCAAGGTTCCAAAACCTTTGTAGATGGGTCTAGTCAAGGTTCCAGTATCTTTGTAGGCGGGTCTAGTCAAGGTTCCAAAACCTTTGTAGATGGGTCTAGTCAAGGTTCCAGTATCTTTGTAGACGGGCCGAGTCAAGGTTCCAAAACCTTTGTAGACGGGTCTAGTCAAGGTTCCAATATCTTTGTAGGCGGGTCTAGTCAAGGTTCCAGTATCTTTGTAGATGCGTCGAGTCAAGGTTCCAGTATCTTTGTAGACGGGTCTAGTCAAGTTTCCAATATCTTTGTAGACGTGAGCGCTCTGTTCATGTAACAGTGAAAATTATGCAAAATGCTCTTCACTGCCTTATTTGAATGCTAGTGCTTCAGAAAACCATGTCAGTCCCAGCAGAATCTTTAAGCGTGCACATGCAAAAAGAATGCATAAGGCAGCTGTTAGATGTGCCAGCATAATTGATCCCACACCAGAATTACAACTCACGGTTGGCACAGGCAGTCAGTCATGAAAATGCGCATTGCACCTGTATAAGTATACATAATTTTTAGTGCAGTTAAAAACACACTGCAGGCACAGCAGAAAGAAAATTCCACATGAAATTCACAGTGTCACACTAAGTTCCTCCTAAAGTCCCTGCTGTGTGGCCTTGGTAGTCATGTCTGTCCACAGGCTTCTGTCTCGTGTACTTTTCAGTAAACATTCTCCATGACATAGTATCAGATTGTCCAGTATCTTTTCTCTCGGTCTTCCTCTGCCCCTCCTCCCCTCCAACTTTCCTACAGTCACAATGTACTTCAGTTTCCCCCTTCTCATCTCACGACCAAAGAATGTAGATTGTCTCTTTGTGATGTTGGTAATCAGTTCTCTTCGTCAGTCAGTTTTCTTTTAAACATCTTCATTGCTCTTTTTTTATCTATCCAAGGTATTCTCATCATTTGTCTATAAAACAACATCTTGGCAGCTTCCAATAAGTTTTCACTAATTTACCAACTGTCTATAATTCACTTCCGTATATCAAGATAGGATTTATAGTTTTCAAGAATTCTCTTTCTCAATTGACAACGAAAGAGTGCATGAAATATTCACACCAAGTACTCAACTAAGTATCTGGGTGACAGAATCTTTCTACTCCTGGTCTATAAATAGGGAATTAGCATCAGCAAAACCTGGCTAGAAAACATAGTTTTTCAGAGCATCAGTGGTCAGCCAACTGTTGGGTCATTTTAGTCCAGAAGTCTCAGAGGAACACAGTGGGTGGGATCGACCTATTAAGAAAACACTTCAAGCTGTGAAGATATTTTTTTTAGCATAAACTCGCACCTCTTAGTTTTTATTTTAGCCTTATCCGAGGAGACAATAATTCTAGTCTGTTACTCTAGGATTACATGTTCCATGAGCTGGAATATCAATTTGGTTTTTCCTCTCTTTCAGTCTCGGCTCGGCCTTAACTCCAGCAAACACCTGTCTACGTCCTCATCCAGTCTACACAAAGCTTCAGATATCACCACTCCTCCAGGATCTGCTGGGGGCACGAGACTCCCTGGTGCTTCCCTTGGGGGGACCAAACTGGGTGACAGGGTGAGTGGTTGTGGTCTTGTGAGGTGGAAGCAGCACTGTGAGGTTACAGTGGTAGTGTGAGGTTACAGTGGTAGTGTGAGTTTACAGTGGTAGTGTGAGGTTACATTGGTAGTGTGATGTTACAGTGGTAGTTTGAGGTTAAGGTAGTAGTGTGAGGTTAATGTGGTAGTGTGAGGTTACAGTGGTAGTGTGAAGTTACATTGGTAGTGTGAGGTTACAGTAGTAATGTGAGGTTACAGTGGTAGTGTGAGATTACATTGGTAGTGTGAGTTTACAATTGTAGTGTGAGGTTACATTGGTAGTGTGAGGTTACAGTGGTAGTGTGAGGTTACATTGGTAATGTGAGGTTACAGTGGTAGTGTGAGGTTACAGTGGTACTGTGAAGTTACATTGGTAGTGTGATGTTACAGTGGTAGTTTGAGGTTAAGGTAGTAGTTTGAGGTTAAGGTGGTAGTGTGAGGTTAAGGTGGTAGTGTGAGGTTACAGTGGTAGTGTGAGGTTTTAGTGGTAGTGTGAGGTTTCTGTCGTAGTATTAGGTTACAGTGGTAGTGTGAGGTTACAGTGGTGGTAGTGTGAGATTACAGTGGTAGTGTGAGGTTAAGGTAGTAGTGTGAGGTTACAGTAGTAGTGTGAGGTTGCAGTGGTTATGTGAGGTTAAGGTAGTAGTGTGAGGTTACAGTGGTAGTGTGGAGTTACAGTGGTAGTGAGAGGTTACATTAGAATGTGAGGTTACAGTGGTCATATGAGGTTTCAGTGGTAGTGTGAGGTTTCAGTGGTAGTGTGAGGTTACAGTGGTAGTATGAGGTTACAGTGGTGGTAGTGTGATGTTTCTGTGGTGGTAGTGTGATGTTTCTGTGGTAGTGTGAGGTTACAGTGGTAGTGGGAGCTTAAAGTGGTGGTATTGTGAGGTTACAGTGGTAGTGTGAGGTTACATTGGTAGTGTGCGGTTACAGTGGTAGTGTGAGGTTTCTGTGGTAGTGTGAGGTTACAGTGGTAGTGTGAGGTTACAGTGGTAGTGTGAGGTTACAGTGGTAATGTGAGGTTACAGTGGTAGTGTGAGGTTACAGTGGTGGTAGTGTGAGGTTACAGTGGTGGTAGTGTGAGGTTACAGTGGTGGTAGTGTGAGGTTATAGTGGTTGTAGTGTGAGGTAATAGTGGTTGTATTGTGAGGTAACAGTGGTATTGTGAGGTTACAATTGTGGTGTGAAGTTACAATGGTAATGTGAATCTATAGTGGTAGTGGTAGGTTACAGTGGTAATGTGAGGTTACAGTGATAATGTGAGGTTACAGTGGTAATGTGAGGTCACAGTGGTAATGTGAGGTTACAGTGGTAATATGAGATTAAGTAGCAATGGTGATATTTAGTAACAGTATTGATAATGTTAGATAACAGCAGTAGTAATGTAAGTAACATAAACAGTTTTTTGAGGTGACAAGCATGGTAATGTGAGATAATGACATAGGTAATGTGAGGTAACAGTAGAAGTGCTAATGTTGTGTAAGAGCAACAGTAATGTGAAGTAACAGTAGAAGTGCTAATGTGGTGTAAGAGCAACAGTAATGTGAAGTAACAGTAGAAGTGCTAATGTGGTGTAAGAGCAACAGTAATGTGAAGTAACAGTAGAAGTGCTAATGTGGTGTAAGAGCAACAGTAATGTGAAGTAACAGTAGAAGTGCTAATGTGGTGTAAGAGTAATAGTAATGTGAGGTAACAGTAGAAGTGATAATGTGGTGTAAGAGCAACAGTAATGTGAAGTAACAGTAGAAGTGCTAATGTGGTGTAAGAGCAACAGTAATGTGAAGTAACAGAAGTGCTAATGTGGTGTAAGAGTAATAGTAATGTGAGGTAACAGTAGAAGTGCTAATGTGGTGTTAGAGTAATAGTAATGTGAGGTAACAGTAGAAGTGCTAATGTGGTGTAAGAGCAACAGTAATGTGAAGTAACAGTAGAAGTGCTAATGTGGTGTAAGAGCAACAGTAATGTGAGGTAACAGTAGAAGTGCTAATGTGGTGTAAGAGCAACAGTAATATGAGGTATTAGTAGAAGTGCTAATGTGGTGTAAGAGCAACAGTAATGTGAAGTAACAGTAGAAGTGCTAATGTGGTGTAAGAGCAACAGTAATGTGAAGTAACAGTAGAAGTGCCAATGTGGTGTAAGAGCAACAGTAATGTGAGGTAACAGTAGAAGTCATAATGTGCTGTAAGAGCAACAGTAATGTGAAGTAACAGTAGAAGTGCTAATGTGGTGTAAGAGCAACAGTAATGTGAAGTAACAGTAGAAGTGCCAATGTGGTGTAAGAGCAACAGTAATGTGAGGTAACAGTAGAAGTGCTAATGTGGTGTAAGAGCAACAGTAATGTGAGGTAACAGTAGAAGTGCTAATGTGGTGTAAGAGCAACAGTAATGTGAAGTAACAGTAGAAGTGCTAATGTGGTGTAAGAGCAACAGTAATGTGAGGTAACAGTAGAAGTGCTAATGTAGTGTAAGAGCAACAGTAATGTGAAGTAACAGTAGAAGTGCCAATGTGGTGTAAGAGCAACAGTAATGTGAAGTAACAGTAGAAGTGCCAATGTGGTGTAAGAGCAACAGTAATGTGAAGTAACAGTAGAAGTGCTAATGTGGTGTAAGAGCAACAGTAATGCGAGGTAACAGTAGAAGTGCTAATGTGGTGTAAGAGCAACAGTAATGTGAGGTAACAGTAGAAGTGCTAATGTGGTGTAAGAGCAACAGTAATGTGAAGTAACAGTAGAAGTGATAATGTGGTGTAAGAGCAACAGTAATGTGAGGTAACAGTAGAAGTGCTAATGTGGTGTAAGAGCAACAGTAATGTGAGGTAACAGTAGAAGTGCTAATGTGGTGTAAGAGCAACAGTAATGTGAAGTAACAGAAGTGCTAATGTGGTGTAAGAGCAACAGTAATGTGAGGTAACAGTAGAAGTGCCAATGTGGTGTAAGAGCAACAGTAATGTGAGGTAACAGTAGAAGTGCTAATGTGGTGTAAGAGCAACAGTAATGTGAAGTAACAGTAGAAGTGCCAATGTGGTGTAAGAGCAACAGTAATGTGAGGTAACAGTAGAAGTGCTAATGTGGTGTAAGAGCAACAGTAATGTGAAGTAACAGTAGAAGTGCCAATGTGGTGTAAGAGCAACAGTAATGTGAGGTAACAGTAGAAGTGATAATGTGGTGTAAGAGCAACAGTAATGTGAGGTAACAGTAGAAGTGATAATGTGGTGTAAGAGCAACAGTAATGTGAAGTAACAGTAGAAGTGCTAATGTGGTGTAAGAGCAACAGTGATGTGAGGTAACAGTAGAAGTGCTAATGTGGTGTAAGAGCAACAGTAATGTGAGGTAACAGTAGAAGTGCTAATGTGGTGTAAGAGCAACAGTAATGTGAGGTAACAGTAGAAGTGCTAATGTGGTGTAAGAGCAACAGTAATGTGAAGTAACAGTAGAAGTGCTAATGTGGTGTAAGAGCAACAGTAATGTGAGGTAACAGTAGAAGTGCTAATGTAGTGTAAGAGCAACAGTAATGTGAAGTAACAGTAGAAGTGCCAATGTGGTGTAAGAGCAACAGTAATGTGAAGTAACAGTAGAAGTGCTAATGTGGTGTAAGAGCAACAGTAATGTGAGGTAACAGTAGAAGTGCTAATGTGGTGTAAGAGCAACAGTAATGTGAAGTAACAGTAGAAGTGCCAATGTGGTGTAAGAGCAACAGTAATGTGAAGTAACAGTAGAAGTGCTAATGTGATGTAAGAGCAACAGTAATGTGAGGTAACAGTAGAAGTGCCAATGTGGTGTAAGAGCAACAGTAATGTGAAGTAACAGTAGAAGTGCCAATGTGGTGTAAGAGCAACAGTAATGTGAGGTAACAGTAGAAGTGCTAATGTGGTGTAAGAGCAACAGTAATGTGAAGTAACAGTAGAAGTGCTAATGTGGTGTAAGAGCAACAGTAATGTGAAGTAACAGTAGAAGTGCCAATGTGATGTAAGAGCAACAGTAATGCGAGGTAACAGTAGAAGTGATAATGTGGTGTAAGAGCAACAGTAATGTGAAGTAACAGTAGAAGTGCCAATGTGGTGTAAGAGCAACAGTAATGTGAGGTAACAGTAGAAGTGTTAATGTGGTGTAAGAGCAACAGTAATGTGAGGTAACAGTAGAAGTGTTAATGTGGTGTAAGAGCAACAGTAATGTGAGGTAACAGTAGAAGTGCTAATGTGGTGTAAGAGCAACAGTAATGTGAAGTAACAGTAGAAGTGCTAATGTGGTGTAAGAGCAACAGTGATGTGAGGTAACAGTAGAAGTGCTAATGTGGTGTAAGAGCAACAGTAATGTGAGATAACAGTAGAAGTTCTAATGTGGTGTAAGAGCAACAGTAATGTGAGGTAACAGTAGAAGTGCTAATGTGATGTAAGAGCAACAGTAATGTGAAGTAACAATAGAAGTGCTAATGTGGTGTAAGAGCAACAGTAATGTGAGGTAACAGAAGTGCTAATGTAGTGTAAGAGCAACAGTAATGTGAAGTAACAGTAGAAGTGCCAATGTGGTGTAAGAGCAACAGTAATGTGAAGTAACAGTAGAAGTGCTAATGTGGTGTAAGAGCAACAGTAATGTGAAGTAACAGTTGAAGTGCTAATGTGGTGTAAGAGCAACAGTAATATGAAGTAACAGTAGAGTTGGTAATGTGAAGTAACAGTAGAAGTGCCAATGTGGTGTAAGAGCAATAGTAATGTGAGGTAACAGTAGAAGTGCTAATGTGGTGTAAGAGCAACAGTAATGTGAAGTAACAGTAGAAGTGCTAATGTGGTGTAAGAGCAACAGTAATGTGAAGTAACAGTAGAAGTGCTAATGTGGTGTAAGAGCAACAGTAATGTGAGGTAACAGTAGAAGTGCCAATGTGGTGTAAGAGCAACAGTAATGTGAGGTAACAGTAGAAGTGCCAATGTGGTGTAAGAGCAACAGTAATGTGAGGTAACAGTAGAAGTGCCAATGTGGTGTAAGAGCAACAGTAATGTGAGGTAACAGTAGAAGTGCCAATGTGGTGTAAGAGCAACAGTAATGTGAAGTAACAGTAGAAGTGCTAATGTGGTGTAAGAGCAACAGTAATGTGAAGTAACAGTTGAAGTGCTAATGTGGTGTAAGAGCAACAGTAATATGAAGTAACAGTAGAGTTGGTAATGTGAAGTAACAGTAGAAGTGCTAATGCGATGTAAGAGTAATAGTAATGTGAGGTAACAGTAGAGTTGGTAATGGAAGGTAACAGTAGCCACAGTAATAGGAGTTAAAAGTAGTCATGGTAATGGGAGGTAACAGTAAAAGGAAGTAGCAGTAGAAATGGAAGGTGACATTAGCTGCGGTAAGGGGAAGTAACAGTGGTAATGTAGGGTGACAGTAGCCATGGTAATAGGAAGTAGCAGTGGTAGTTGGAGGTGACAGTAGCCATGGTAATAGGAAGTAGCAGTGGTAGTTGGAGGTGACAGTAGCTATGGTAAAGGACAGTGTGGTAAGGGAGGGTGACAGCAGCCAGTAGTGGTAAGGGGAAGTAACAGTGGCAGAAGCAAAAATACTATGTTTTGTGTTTAGACAGCTGCTAATTTGTGTTGAAATGTACGCAGGTTCTGGTTAGTGGCTCCAAGCCGGGCATCTTGCGCTTCATTGGAGAGACAGACTTTGCCAAAGGCGTCTGGGCTGGGGTGGAACTGGATGAACCCCTGGGGAAAAATGACGGGGCTGTGGCTGGCAAAAGGTAGGAGATGTGTGCCAGAGGACCAGTGAGAGAGACTAGTTATCTCACTCTATGTCTTGGTCCTATGTCCTACTGTCTTCCTCTCTCTCAACTTTCAGTGTTTTTGTGTGTGTCTGTCTATCCCTCTCCACCCCCTTCCTCCCTCCCCCCGAATAGATACAGCCACTTCATCACCATCATGTGGCTGTATATTGGTGCAAAAAAGGCAACTGAAAATTATTTTGTTGAAATCTGACAGCAATATAGACAAATAAAAAAAGGCATAGCTTCACAGCTATTTAATATAAACTCATAATTATTTTGCATTTTTTTAACCAAATTGTTCATAAAAATAATTTTAAAAAAAATTTTTTTAAATGGTGTAATCTTGTTGTACATCAGTGTAATGTGGCTGTAGATTAGTGAAAGAAAAAGGTAAGTAAACAAAATTCTTGGTTTTTCCTTATAGACTAACAAAAACAGCAAAGTTTAACAACTATTTAATATAAACTCATAATATTTTGCATTTTTATACTAAATTGAATAGAGAACAAATTTCAAGAGTAATTAAAAAAAAAAAAATCATAAACTTGTTTTACATCATCATTATCATCATCATTATCATCATCATCATCTGGTTGTACATTTGGTGCAAAGAGGGAAAAAAGCAGCCAAAATATTTGTTGACACCATTTTTTTTGTTGTTGCTGAAATAATCTTGGATGAAAGCTCTTCTTAACTGTGAAATAAAATTCTGCAAAATCAGTGGCTGTTTGTCATTCTGCACCAGGAACTTCTGTTACAGTATGACTGAATCATCATCAAGTAGCAGGTCCTTTGCAGAACGTCACTCTCATCACAGTCTGCCTGAAAGAAACTTGGTCTCTCACCAGCTCTCCCACCTCATGTTCTTTCATACTCAAGGAGTCACTTATATCCTGTGCCCATCTTCATCTTGGTCAGCCCCTGCCCCTCCTTCCTGGTACCATGCCTTCTGCTATAATTTTTTCCAATCCGTCGTGGCACTCAATATGACCAGAATATTTTAGTTTCCGAGACAGGATGCTGTTTATTAGCCAATCTTCTTTTATGTTCAGATTTTTAGGATGTCATTATTTCTCCTCTTCTTTGTCCAAGATATTCTGAGAATCTTTCTAGAGCATTTCAGCTCAAAAGCCCCTATTCTCTTTCTGAATTGTCAAACTAAAAAAGCTTCAAAAATTATGTTTTCCCAAAACAGGCAATGGCAAGAATGGCACCCTGGTAAACATTGAGGATTGCATTGTTAAACAGTTTTTACTAAACTCTAAACCACAAAGCCATAATGTACAAAAGATACACTAACAGACATATCTAACAATACACACCTGATGCACATACATGAAACAGTTTACAAAAACTGTTGTAACATAACACACCTACCTCCGACTGCCATGCCACTGCTATAAGCAAAACGTCTTCCAGTTTCAACTATAATTTTTGTGGCAATTTGTAAGTATTATCAAAGTCACAGTCACCAAACTGTTCACTTTCCAATTTAAAACAATCAAGATAATATTCCACTGTATCAGAAATATTCTCCAAACTGTTCACTTTCCAATTTAAAACAATCAAGATAATATCCCACTGTATCAGAAATAGTCTCCAAACTGTTCACTTTCCAATTTAAAACAATCAAGATAATATCCCACTGTATCAGAAATAGTCTCCAAACTGTTCACTTTCCAATTTAAAACAATCAAGATAATATCCCACTGTATCAGAAATAGTCTCCAAACTGTTCACTTTCCAATTTAAAACAATCAAGATAATATCCCACTGTATCAGAAATAGTCTCCAAACTGTTCACTTTCCAATTTAAAACAATCAAGATAATATCCCACTGTATCAGAAATAGTCTCCAAAACTGTTCACTTTCCAATTTAAAACAATCAAGATAATATCCCACTGTATCAGAAATAGTCTCCAAACTGTTCACTTTCCAATTTAAAACAATCAAGATAATATCCCACTGTATCAGAAATAGTCTCCAAACTGTTCACTTTCCAATTTAAAACAATCAAGATAATATCCCACTGTATCAGAAATAGTCTCCAAACTGTTCACTTTCCAATTTAAAACAATCAAGATAATATCCCACTGTATCAGAAATAGTCTCCAAAAACTGTTCACTTTCCAATTTAAAACAATCAAGATAATATCCCACTGTATCAGAAATAGTCTCCAAACTGTTCACTTTCCAATTTAAAACAATCAAGATAATATCCCACTGTATCAGAAATAGTCTCCAAACTGTTCACTTTCCAATTTAAAACAATCAAGATAATATCCCACTGTATCAGAAATAGTCTCCAAACTGTTCACTTTCCAATTTAAAACAATCAAGATAATATCCCACTGTATCAGAAATAGTCTCCAAACTGTTCACTTTCCAATTTAAAAACAATCAAGATAATATCCCACTGTATCAGAAATAGTCTCCAAACTGTTCACTTTCCAATTTAAAACAATCAAGATAATATCCCACTGTATCAGAAATAGTCTCCAAACTGTTCACTTTCCAATTTAAAACAATCAAGATAATATCCCACTGTATCAGAAATAGTCTCCAAACTGTTCACTTTCCAATTTAAAACAATCAAGATAATATCCCACTGTATCAGAAATAGTCTCCAAACTGTTCACTTTCCAATTTAAAACAATCAAGATAATATCCCACTGTATCAGAAATAGTCTCCAAACTGTTCACTTTCCAATTTAAAAACAATCAAGATAATATCCCACTGTATCAGAAATAGTCTCCAAACTGTTCACTTTCCAATTTAAAACAATCAAGATAATATCCCACTGTATCAGAAATAGTCTCCAAACTGTTCACTTTCCAATTTAAAACAATCAAGATAATATCCCACTGTATCAGAAATAGTCTCCAAACTGTTCACTTTCCAATTTAAAACAATCAAGATAATATCCCACTGTATCAGAAATAGTCTCCAAACTGTTCACTTTCCAATTTAAAACAATCAAGATAATATCCCACTGTATCAGAAATAGTCTCCAAACCAAGCCAGCCCTAGCGATCACCTGCGTTATGAAAATGTGCGCCTAATGAGTCATCTACAAGGAAGCTGACCCCCAAAAAAATTGAGGGAAATTTACTTTGAGCACTACCGAATTGTGTCCCATAAATAAACTTAAAGAAATGAATGGACTTATGGCTTTGACTACATTTGTGGCAAAAGTTTTTTTTAAACATGTCGGTAAGTGTCCAAAGTTACGATCACATAACGTGAGATCATGATAGTCTGTGGGTTAATAAAGTTGTCCTAACATAGCAGCTAGAAGCCAACCCAAAGTCTAGGTTTCCATTCCATATCATGATGGATTTGTTTTAAACATTGACTTTAACTCTCTGGTCAACCCAGCCTAGGATTTGTTTTAAAAATTGACTTTGACTGTCTGGTAAACCCAGCCTAGGATTTGTGTTAAAAATTGACTTTGACTGTCTGGTCAACCCAGCCTAGGATTTGTTTTAAAAATTGACTTGACTCTCTGGTCAACCCAGCCTAGGATTTGTTTTAAAAATTGACTTTGACTCTCTGGTCAACCTAGCCTTAAATGTGTACTGTGTAATGTCATGGGAAGTAAAGGCAGCTGGCATAATATGGCAGATTTGTTTTTAAACATATTAGCCTATCGTCCTATGCCTGATGTCCCACTGGCTTGAAAATAGTCTTTCACTGTTACAACATGTCCAAGATATGACATGCCTTATCTTTTCTGATACAGTTTCTCTTTCTCAGGTATTTTGTTTACACATATCTAACCCTTTTCAGGTTTTTTTCAAATTAGCAACTATCAATACTTACATCATCTTTTTCCAGTATTGTCTCTACCCTTGCATCATCTTTCTCCTGTATTGTTGATCCTTGCATTAATTTTTCCTATATTGTCTATCCCTTCATCATCTTTCTCCTGTATTGTCTATCCTTGCGCCATCTTTCTCCTGTATTGTCTATTCTTACATTATTTTTCTTCTATATTGTCTATCCTTGCATCATATTTCTCCTGTATTGTCTATCCTTGCATGATCTTTCTCCTGTATTATCTATCCTTGCATCATCTTTCTCCTGTATTGTCTGTCCTTGCCTAATCTTTCTCCTGTATTGTCTATCCTTGCATGTTCTTTCTCCTGTATTGTCTGTCCTTGCGTCATCTTTCTCCTCTATTGTCTGTCCTTGCATCATCTTTCTCCTGTATTGTCTATCCTTGCATCATCTTTCTCCTGTATTGTCTGTCCTTGCATCATCTTTCTCCTGTATTGTCTGTCCTTGCATCATCTTTCTCCTGTATTGTCTGTCCTTGCATCATCTTTCTCCTGTATTGTCTGTCCTTGCATCATCTTTCTCCTGTATTGTCTGTCCTTGCATAATCTTAATCCTGTATTGTCTGTCCTTGCATCATCTTAATCCTGTATTGTCTATCCTTGCATCATATTTCTCCCGAATTATCTATTCTTGCATGTTCTTTCTATGTATTTATCCTTGCATTGACTTTTTCATGTTTTATCTATCCTTGCATTCTCTCTGTCAGGTATTTTGACTGCAAGCCATTGCACGGCCTGTTTGCGCCGATCCACAAAATTTCCCTAGCAGATTTGGGAGTCACCACACCTTCACCACACTCGCGCCCAGTCATGTCCACCAGCCTGCGCAGCTCTCGGGAGCGCAGCGGCAGCCAGGAAAGTGTCTCATCATTGTCCTCCACAGCGTCCAGTGTGTCCAGATCGCGGGTAAGGTTGGGAGTGACCTCTTTGGCCAGCCAGGTACATGCAGCATTTTTTTTGCAAATTTGTTAACTGCCTTGTGTCTTTTCTGCACAGTGCAGGGTATTATGTGAAGTATTTTCAGGTTTGGCCTGTTTGTTAGATCATTTACTCATAATAATGTGTGTTCTCACTCCAAACTGTTGAATACACATTAAACTGTTAGTACTTTACACATAGCAGAATTGAAATAGAATTGTTGACATGTATTCAGGTTTGGCCCATTTGTAAAAATCCGACACTCATGATAATTGTAGTAATGCATGTTCTCTGCATAAATTTTGTATATAAAATCTGTTATCATTTCACACAGATTGATATTATAATGACTTGAAAAAAATATCAGTCCAAACAAGAAACAAGAAAAAATATCAGTCCAAACAAGAAACAAGAAAAAATATCAGTCCAAACAAGAAAAAATATTAGTGCAAACACGAAAAAGTATCAGTCCAAACTAGAAAAAATATCAGTCTGAACACACACAAAAAATATCAGTCCAAACAAGAAAAAATATCAGTCCAAACAAGAAACAGTATATCCAAACAAGAAAAAATATCAGTCCAAACAAGAAAAATATCAGCCCAAGCAAGAAAAATATAACCTGCAGCCAGTTGCCATATTAACCAACAAATTAATTTGTGTCTTTGTTAGATTAGCCATCTGTGTCCCTTATAAGCTGAAGCCTGTTGCCAGATTAACCAACAAATTAATTTGTGTCGTGATTAGATAAGTTAAAAAGTCCAACTGTGTTCCTCATGAGCTGCAGCCAGTTGTTGAAGTAACCAACAAATTATTGTAAATCTCTGTTAGAACAGCATACACATGAATCCTTGTTAAGTTAGTGAATTGTTTTATCTCACTGGTTCCCACCTAGTGAAGACAAGACCTGTGCACTGGTTCCCACCTAGTAAAGACAAGACCTGTGCACTGGTTCCCACCTAGTGAAGACAAGACCTGGGCACTGGTTCCTACCTAGTGAAGACAAGACCTGTGCACTGGTTCCCACCTAGTGAAGACAAGACCTGTGCACTGGTTCCAACCTAGTGAAGACAAGACCTGTGCACTGGTTCCCACCTAGTGAAGACAAGATCTGTGCACTGGTTCCCACCTAGTGAAGACAAGACCTGTGCACTGGTTCCCACTTAGTGAAGACAAGACCTGTGCACTGGTTCCCACCTAGTGAAGACAAGACCTGCGCACTGGTCCCCACCTAGTGAAGACAAGACCTGTGCACTGGTTCCCACCTAGTGAAGACAAGACCTGTGCACTGGTTCCCACCTAGTGAAGACAAGACCTGTGCACTTGTTCCCACCTAGTGAAGACAAGACCTGTGCACTGGTTCCCACCTAGTGAAGACAAGACCTGTGCACTGGTTCCCACCTAGTGGAGACAAAACCTGTGCATGTGGCTGCCCTCTTATTTACAGATGATGGCCACAGAATCCATACATTTTTCAATAGTCATACTGAAGAATTTATAAATATTAGGTTAGTTGCGGATCCTTTACAGGATGCTACAGAACCAACCAAAACAGCCCCTGGCTGTTGTGTGGTTTTTTAGGCAAATTTATGTCCAGTGGTTTGCCATTGCTTTCTGGACCATCGGCTTTCTTGATACCACTGTTGAAACCAACGCAAGGTGCATTGCCCGCAGCTGGAATCTAACCCTGCATCCTGGCATTATGAAGCATTCGCATCGACTTAGCCACAGAGCCGACTTAAATATTAGAATTGAGAAAAAAAAAAAAGATTGCTTTCTTAAGTTAAAAGGTTTTGGTAAATGATATCACGGGCTCTTTAAATTTGCCTTGAAGTTATAATGTAAATCCAGAGAACCTTAAATAAATGAAGACCAGGCGGCTTGAAAATTACTTCTATAGGCTAATATCAGAATTCAGGCATGAAAATATGATCTTGCTTCCAGCAATTGTCCGTTTCCACAATGATTTGTATTAATTTCTTTGTAGAGAACCAGTGAACCAGTTTTGTTTTAAACTATCAGTAAAGAATAGCTTCAGTTTTTGCAGAATTCAGTACAGATATACCTTACTATATTACACATACAGACTAATTCCAGTAAATTCTGCAGAAACACACTTTTGTTTCATAATCAAAAGTGAATGTTAATAGTTTTTAAGCCAGTGTTTTCCCAATGTTATAATTTAAGTAGTGAGGCCACAAAAGATGTATGGCACAGTTATTTCTTGACATCTTGTCAGGAGCATTGTTATAGAATTATGTCAACAATTGAGGAAGCACAACAGTCTTTTCATCTGAAGTGTACAAATGATGTTGTTTCTTGTAATACTGTACATTCTCCCCAACGGAAGTCTTAGATAAACTCCATGATCACCACGGAAGTCTGAGATTAACCATGTGATTCTTTTGTTTTTTGTGTGTATATTATTAGTTTTATTTCTTTATAATTTCTAGTGTGTATTTTATTTCAGTTGACCCCTCGACTTAGTCTTGCATCAGAAGTATATTTTATTTCTTAAACAAATTCTCTGTTTTAAGTTTTTACTACTTTTGGTGAAGACTTGCTCAACTAACTTTCATTTGCAGAGTTTTTGTGTGCCGCATCTACCATTTCTTCAACAGTTTCTCTGTTTGTACCCTTTTGTGAAGATTTGCCTAACTAACTTTCACTCGCTGTTAAATTTATGTGTACCACTTTTACCGTATCTTTAACAGTTTCTCTGTTTTTACCCTTTTGTGAAGATTTGCTAAACTAACCTTCACTCGCTGTGAAATTTATGTGTACCACTTTTACCGTTTCTTTAACAGTTTCTCAGTTTGTACCCTTTTGTGAAGATTTCTTAACTAACTGTCACTCGCTGTAAAATTTATGTGTGCCACTTCTACCACTCGATACCACTGTCAAAACCAATGCAAGGCCCACAGCTGGAATTGAAGCCGGCACCCGGGCATTATGAAGCTCATTCACAACGCCTAAGCCACAGATGCTGACCTACCCTTAGTAGTTGCCTGTTATTATAAGTTGGCCTGTAAGTTGCAGTCGGTGATTCAATCAGCAGGTTCTTTACAGGACGTTGCTGTCTTCATGGCACACCTGAAACTTCACCCCTTTCTATAATAGCCAGTTCTCCAGCCAGATGCGCTTTCATAGCCAGTGGCTTCTTCAGTGTCCTGTTTTTACCCACTTCATACATAGGTCTGCCTGGCTTGCTAGCACAGTTGGCTAAACCTGACTGCGTGGCGAGTGGGTGATGAACTAGTGCTCCTGGTTTACGCCTGGGAGTAGGCAGAAAAGCCACATTTCTCTCATATTTACGGTATCTATCATGGAATCAAGACGGAAGGATTGCGATATCCATAGTACAGAGCCAAACTCATGGTTTCTGGATACTTAAAAAAAAAAATATATAGGTCTAATATTCCAGTTGCCATTGCTTGAGATTTTCCTAGGTGAAAGGAGTTGTGTGTTTCTGTGTGACTTTTTTGGTTTTGTTTTTTCAAAACAGTTTCTCACATTCTGTGAGGATTTGCTTAACTAATTTTCACCCACTTGCAGCATTTGTTATTGTCATTTTTACTGTTTCCTTGACAGTTTCTCTATTTTCAGTATTTCTGTACATCCTTTGCGGAAGGTTTGCTTAACTAACTTTCATGCGTGTCATTGGTGTGTATCCCTTCTGCTGTTCTTACTTCACCTTATGTTAGCTGCAAGTATCCCATTGAAACAAATGCTCATTCTTTCTTTCTTTCATTCTTTCTTTCTTTCATTCTTTCTTTCTTTCTTTCTTTCTTTCTTTCTTTCTTTCTTTCTTTCTTTCTTTCTTTCTTTCTTTCTTTCTTTCTTTCTTTCTTTCTTTCTTTCTTTCTTTCTTTCTTTCTTTCTTTCTTTCTTTCTTTCTTTCTTTCTTTCTTTCTTTCTTTCTTTCTTTCTTTCTTTCTTTCTTTCTTTCTTTCTTTCTGTCTGTCTGTCTGTCTGTCTGTCTGTCTGTCTGTCTGTCTGTCTGTCTGTCTGTCTGTCTGTCTGTCTGTCTGTCTGTCTGTCTGTCTTTCTTTCTTTCTTTTTTTCTTTCTTTCTTTCTTTCTTTTTTTCTTTCTTTCTTTCTCCTATAGAAACAATTGCTCATATTTGTTTAATCCTGTCAGTTCATTAGAGAAACTGTTGGCCAAGCACTTACAACATCCTGCTCTAAGGTGGGAGACTGGGTTCTACCACCGGTAATGGGTAAGAGTGTTTCTGGTGGGGCAGAATCGAACATCCTGACCTGCACAGTCTGTGGCGACAGCACTAGCCAAGCGGCCCTAAATCCTCACACTCACGACCTCCTTTCTTCCTTCCTTCCTTCCTTTCTTTTTCATAGTGGACATTTATTCTTTTCTTAACAGAGTGGTCTTTCTTTCTTTCTCTCTGTTTCTCTTTCATTCTTTTTTCTTCTCTTTGTTGTAGTTGTTGTTGTTATCTTTTGGGAGGGTATGGTCTAGTGTTTTTGGTGCTAGGGACTTCACAGAGATATGGGACATCCTAGAGACTAGTCTCATTAGTCAGTTTTTATTTTGGGTGTGACAGAGATGTAGTTTGACAGCGCTGCTATATGCAACAATTCAGAATGATTATCAGCATGTGACAAACACGTGGCACCGCCTGCTTTGTAACAACTAATTGAAAACGATCACCAACACTTTTGTGGCATCACTTTCACACAACAACCAACTGAAAACTGTCACCACCTATCACAAATATGTGGTACCACCTCTTTAAACAGTAACCAGTGACACACTTCTAACTTGAAAACTTTGCTATGAATTTATATCAGAAAATTAAAAAAGGAACGTTCAATAAGAAGAATTGAAAACGTGGTAATAAAAAATGACAATAGAATGAATAGAAAGACATGGGAATTAACATGAATAAAATTGACACAGCTGCTGTTTTAATTACTCAAAAATATGCATAAAAAATATGAAAACAGACAAAGGAAATAGTATGATCTGTGAAAACCTAACAAGATCCTTAGATAATCTTCT